CATGTTTCGTTTTTTAAGCATCAACCCAGCAGAAATCTCATAACAAACACTTATAGATTCATATTAACATTCTAAACGATATCAGGCATATACACTCATCAATGAAAGCCTTAATCATGCATACTACCCTTTTTGATTCAACGATAACAATTCTCGAATAACAATCAACAATTATACAGATAAATCAAACAGATCAACCATGATAACAATTATGAATGAAATTCAAACCTAGATGCATATTCTAGTATTAGATGTCTACATACTCACCTCGATTCGTTGATTTAATTCGAAAGAATGTCATTCGAATTCTATCGTCAGGCAGATTCACCCCGCCGCTGCTGTTAGGCGTGTCGTAGCACCTACAAATTAATTTATTCTTTTCCTTTATTTAGTTCCTTCTTGTAAAAATAATATTTATTAAATCTATAGATAGGATAGTAAGAGTCGATCCCACGAGGAAAGATATTTTTTAGACTATGAAAATCGGTTTACTTTGTCACTTTTTATTGAGTGAAAACAACTGTCTGAAATCTATAAACTAAATTAAAAGATGGGGGAGGGGTTTGAAAATTGTTTTCTAAATGAAGTAAAAAAACTAACTAAAGTGACACACCACACCAGAACAAAACTCAAAACAAACCAAGGATAAAAACAGAACGTAACTCCACCAAAAAGCCCAAACAAAGAAGACAAGCACACATAACACAATAGTTTAGAGACTTAAACAATTTTAGAAAACCAACAAAATGTTTTATAATATAGAAAATAAATATCCAAGATCAAAACTTTGTTGAAAACTAGCATAATCATCAACCAACTATAAATTAAAACAAGGGTCCGACTGAAAAAGAGGTCCACCAACGGTTCTTTCCTATTTTCCCACTCATAAAAGCTCATGTTAAGACCAACCCTAACTCTAAACCCTACTACCCTTAGCAACCCAAAGACCAACTCTTAGATTACTACTAAGAATAGTGCATTAAGATTTGTGGAAAACATCACCGTAACAATTTTGCAGTAACACGAAGGTTATTTAACAAAATCAGTTTGAGAACCTTGATTAGCAAAAAACCACTTAACGAGGCAGCCCAGGTTAATCAAGTGACACTTGATTTCTAGAAAAGTTCGGCTATTTAAAGCACTTTGGACTTTAAAAGAATATCATTTTAAATTGGATTAGGTCGCGATCCTAATTTGACCCAACTTAAGTAAAATCAATTGAAAAATAGTTCTCAAACACCTTTGAATTAATCTAAAAGTAGCAAAAATTGGAATAATTTTAAGAGTAAACTTGAAGTAAAAGTGTAAACCCATAGACAGATTTAATTTTAAGCAACAAGATTCAATACTTCCTCTCAAAATTCTGGTTTCAAATGCTATTTTTGACAAAATTATTTCCTAGACAGCACAAACACAACAGTCCAAGAACCTGCTTCATAAATTTGCTACGAAACTGTGCCAATCACTTTCAACCTTAAAGCAATGTTTACTTCCCAAAAGCCATATCATAAACTCATAAGTAATGATCAGTAAACAAAAAGGAAGAACATTATCTCAAAGGATTCCTTTTAAAACAACACAGCCACCATAAAAATCTCTATTCGCAGCACTTATGACAAATTCCCTTCACAGTATTTATTGCAAAAAAAAGTAACTCTCAAGTAGAAGTTTTGATAAATTGAAAAATCAAGAACAGAACAAAAGGAAACCAAATTGAAAAGAAAGATCAACTAAAGTCGTAAAAAAAACTACAAAAGAAGATAACAAAAGGGGGTTTCGGATGCAAGATCCGAACCCCCTAGGGTTCATACCCTTTGGATTGAGCTCTGATTTTTACTCTTGATTGGTGGTGGTGAAGTTCTTCGCAGCCCTCCCTCAATTTATAGGTGCTCTTCGTCTCTTCCATCTTCGATTAGGACTTCCTTGTGCGCTGCAATTCTTGCTGCGGATTCTCCGGCTCCAGTTGCGTTGAAGAGCCGAACAACAGTAGGAGCGGGAGTCTCTTCTTTTTACGCAGCTTCTCTCCAATTTCTCTTCTCTTGTGTGTATTGGTGGTGGACCTTTGGGCTTTATCATATTGGGCCCGGATTGCTTTTACATTTTCAGCCCGCACTTAATGCTCCAAAAATATATCTAATAACCTTTGTCAAAGAGAATTTGGGTCCACAACAATAATATTCAAAAATAAACTGAAAAGTGTGCATTATGAACATATTTTAAGAACTATGTCTAGAATGCAAATATGATCATTTAAGTGTAAAAATGCACTTTTTAATGCCCGAAAATACTGATTTGATAGAGAATATTGAGTGAACATTTTGGACTCAACAGCTGCCAAAACACTGCCAGGGCTGCCTCGCCCTTACCCAATCACCAGAATAGCATCCCGCCAAGTACTAGGAGTGTCCGAAACCAAGACTGTTTCTGTCCGGACCAAATTCGCTGCCCGAACCCGTCGGGATTGTCAACAACGTTGTTTTGAATAGTTGGAGTTGACCTCCAATTGTCAACCCATGGTTGCCGCTAATTTCGCCAGGTGGTTTGGTTTTGTCGCTGGGGTCACCAGAAGAGATGGGAGTCGCCGTTGCTACCCACGTCACCTGAAAATTTTGCAGTCTCCGGAATGGAGATGTTCTGCCCTAGTCTGGCCGTGCCGCCCAAAGGTCACCCTGCCGGAGAGAGTGGAGCTGGTGCTTCTCGTCACCGATTGCAGACCGCCGTCGTCGACGTATTTGTTTTCATCGCCAATCCCGCAGCTTCAATAGTTGTGACACAGGGGGTCGCCGAAACATATGGGGGTCGCCAACCTTGCCGCCGTCTGAACTTGTCGCCGGAAATATGCTCGCTGATCGTCGCTGCTCGTGGTCGTCCTATCGAGCACCGTCGGTGATAGAAGGAGAAGGAAATTGGTGTTGCAAATGGGAGCAGAAGATACTGCGCTGAGGCGCTGCGGCGCTGGTGCGAGAATTTGTTTATATGTATATATACTAGGGCCGATACTAGGGTTTTGTACTACTACCACCGTACCGTGAAACATTTCCCCTTTCTTTTTTTATCCGTCCCACAAAACACTTCTCATTTCTATTAAAAAGTCACTTTTATCCCTTACTTTTTCATACCCTAACTATCACATCATACCTTTTTACTAATAATCTATCCATCAAATCATACTTTTACCCATCACATCAAAGGACATTTTTGGAAATTCAATACCAAAATACACTCCCTTAAATCCCTCCTAAAAAGCAAATGTCTCATGTTTCACGGGACGGAGGTAGTATAATTTAGAATTAGGTGTCTAAGTAAAAATAATCTTTTCGGGTTCACTTGTTTCGATTTGAGATCCGTTAATATTGTTGGATTCGATTCATCGATCCTAACTCAATGATATAACCTTTATAATCAATCAACATACATTTATAAATTCCAACTGGTCTGTTCTAGTTCTTTCGATTCAAATCAATCCTTTATCTTAAATCTTTATAAATATAATCAGATTAGTTTTGTGTTATTGAGATGATTAGAATATCTAAAATATCTTTTAATTCTTTAGAATAGATTATTGTAAATAAATACTCCGTAATTTTTATTTATCTAATTAGTGAATAAAATAAAATATTTTTGAAAGTCACATGAACTTTTGTTTATTTATACATTTTCATTAATTATTTGATGAAATAAAATATTTTTGACATTTCTTAGTTTCATGAATTTTTCATGTAGTTTTTAAATATATAAATTTTAGTTTTTTATTTGTATACCAATATTTAAATAAAATGAATTGAAAAAACTTAATATTTTATATAATTTTTTGGAATGTGGTAAAGACTAAGGAATGAAGCAAATCTTTCTATATACAAAGCAAATGGGGTGAAAATGAACAATGGCAATTCCCGCCTAAATGAACAGTGATTTCAGGTTGGGCCTAAATGCTGTCAAGTTGGCTTGCAAGTGGGGGTGGAGTTTTATGGGGTAATGTGATTAATGTGTACATTGAGCTTTATGGGAAAGAGAAAAAGCATGCATTGAGCCACGTGAAATGGGAAAGAGAAAAAGCATGCATTGAGCCACGTGAAATGGGAAGAGAAAAAGCATACATTGAGCCACGTAAAATTAATTGTGAAACATTGGAGAGTGTGTAATCTATTTTGAGTGAAGATCCTTGAGTATAAAAGCAAGACCATCTCACGTTTTAATAACCAAACCAAACCAAGCTTGCCAATTCTAAATTTAAAAAAATGTCTTCCATCACAGTTTCATCCGGGATGTGGACCAAGCTTGCCGATCTTGATAGAGATCGAAGCAAGATGGCCATTCATGTGAGAGCAATTCGTGTGTACGAAATAAGTTCATTTGGTAGAATTGACGAATCAATAGAGGTGATTTTCCATGACGATCAAGTATGTTACTTCAATTCCATTACTTTTCATAAAGAAATAATTCTTATTTTATCTTTGGTGGTATAGTATACAACAAAGTATAATTTCTAGATCAGTTATTATGTTAATTTTTGGATCCATCAATGACATTAAAAATTGATTATTGCATTGGTATATCTCATTGGCCGAAAAAATTAATTAAAAGTCATTGTATTGGATCTGAAAACAGGGTACGAGGATTCATTGTCAGCTTAAGAAACCGTATAATTCGCGTTATCGGGCACAAATCGTGGAGGGGGGAGTTTACGCTATCAAAAATCTATTGGTTCATGACAACTATCAAATGTTCAAGACAACTCTGCATCGCTTTATGTTGGCGTTCTTTAGCAAAACTGATGTCAAAACAGTGAGTACCAAAGGATTTCCCGATTTCATGTGTGACCTACGTTCCTTTGAAAGTGTTCGTGAGCAACCCGTCTTGAAAGATGCTTTATTAACAGGTATTGTAATCTGTCTAAAATTTTCATATACTTCATTATAAAGATATGAAATCGAATTACATAATTATGATAGATGTGATTGGAAAGATTGTTGGACGTTCAAGCGTGCGAACATACAATAGGGGACAGAAAGAAGAAAAGCTCATGGAGATGACTTTGGAGGATCTCGAGTACGTTAATGTTTCCATGATTGAGCATAGATTTTTTTAGTATAATCATTAATCTTACAAATTTGCAGGGGAGAACGTTTGACGTGCACTTTGTGGGGAAAGTATGTTGATCAATTCAACGATTACGTCAATCTTGACGTCCCTTATCCTTCCGTCGCACTTATAAGCTTCTGCAGGGTGAAGAGGTTCAATGGTCGGTACCTAACAACTTTTTTCCTTACATTGAATTCATTAGCCAAAATTCACATAACTTCTCACAATCTCACATTATATGCAGGAGTGGTTAGTCTGTGTACTGCATATGACGTGACCAAGATTGTTTATGATGGTGTCTCAAATGAAGTCATTAAGTTCAAGTCAAGGCATGAAATTAGATTATTAATACTTTTTATTACACACAAACATCTTCTAATTAACACATTCTTTCAGGCTTCCAGATCAAGGAGATGATAGTACTTTTACACCAACTATTTTGAGTCGAGTTGATGATGTCGAGAGTGGAACAGTTACAATCACAAGTATCAAGGCACTGCTTGAAGAGAAGGTATCGATTGTAATTATTATATAAAAAGTTTAATGGATCATTGTTTCATTTTTAAGATTATGCAATCTTTCAACTAACGAATCTAATCATTCATTAACAGGAAGGATATTTTTGGATTAAGGGTGAGATAGATTCACTTGGCCCAATGCGCTCTTGGTCCTATCTTGGGTGCACCGAGTGTAACATGAAAGTTCATCCGGAGGATGCGAGGTTTAAGTGTGATGGGTGTGATAAGACCATCCCGCATGGAGTGTACAAGTAAATAAATGATATCTCTTTTATTTTTCTATTCTTTTTAGATTTTGCTTATTGAGGGTTAAATATATTCGTAATACATAGGTACAAGGTCATTGTTCGGGTTGTTGATGAAAGTGGAAGCGGTCATGCGGCATTTGTCCTGTTTGATAAAGAGTGCACACAATTGTTGGGAGTGAGTGCTTTCTTGCTTAGGGAGGCTATGGTTGAGGTAAACATAAAGGAACACACCTTATCCTAATTTCAAATTTTTGGCTACATGCTCATAAAAATAAGTCTTGGGAATCTTTGAAATGTGTAGAGGAATATGGACCCGGACACTATACCGCAGGAAATGGATCGAATCATGTGTCAAAAGGCTCTTTTCAAGGTTCATGTGAAAAAACAACAAGGCTCACCGACTAAGCACCTGTCGAGGATTTTTAGTGTTGGACAAATTGTGACTGACCAAGTGGTGCTGGCTAAATATAACAACATTGTTGAAAGAACAAATTTGGATGATTTTTGGGAGAGTCTCGAAGACTTGAGCGAAACAGTGGAAAAGGTTATTATTATATCATTTGAACCAAGCTGTTTGAATTGAATACGACAATTATGGATAATAAGAAGTATTGATAATACTATTTTCCAAATGAAATATGTAGATTGGTTCAAATGACGTTCTTGGCAGTCAGAGTAGTTGCAGTGCTTCAAGGAAGGATATTGAAATCCAGGTAGACGATCCTATCAAGCGGAAACTTTTTGAAGACGATCCAAGTGACAAACATGACAAGAGACTCAAAGCAATCAAGGTTGAAAAGTAGATTGAAGTTGTTCAGGATGCCAATTGTTTTTGGTGGAAAGAAATAAGGTTGTCTGCTTCTATTGGATCTTTTTGTCCTATCTTCCAACCATGTCCACAAAACAGTTTTTGATCCATGGCATGTAACAAAACTATTTTCCCGTTGTTTTTGTGAAACAACCGGAGTTTATTTCTGTCTATTTTTTGCAATATTTACTATGGTGTACGTGTTTGGGATTATGTTTTGAAAATTATTAATACAAGTTTATTATATGGTTGCGTACCCAATTGAGAAATAAGTAAAGCAAATTTTTATGAAAAAATATGAAGTAAAAAAAAACTACAACACATAAAAGTTTTTCGGGCTAAGCTAGGTTTTTGTTTAAATGACCTATTAGATTAACAAACTCCGCAACTCTAAAACTGCACAATATATAAGTCGAGATGTATATTACTCCTCAGGCAACTAATAACACATCAAGACAAAAAAAAGCTGGGACTGAGGAAATGCGCGTACCTCAGGCAACCACCGGTCGTCCTCGGCGTCGGCGAACGCGATGTTGAGCCAATCGGCGTTCCGTTTCTGGACTTTGGCCACGAATTTGGACAGGGAGTTGCAGAGTTGGCACTTGCGGGAGTAGAATTCCAGCACCGTCGCGGCTTTGTCGCTCGCCAGCGCCGCCGCAAACGCGCCCTGCTCCGCTGCGGATTGTTCCTCCGGACTCGGATTTCTTCCTCATCATCCCTCCTGTTAGAGAAGGAAAAGGAATATTAGAATATTAGTCTTTGATTTGTATTAGACTTGTATATGGTAGCTTCCTTTATTTAGCATTCCTAGTTCTATTAGGAATACCTTGCTGTATATATATACTCCTCATTGTATTGTACAGGATCAAGAAGGAATACAATAGATTTTCAGCCCTAAAACACTTCTGCGTAACATGGTATCAGAGCAAACCTAAAACCTACAGCCGCACGTTACCTTTCCAACATCAAAACACCGACCTTGTTTTCTTTCCTTTGCAGTGTGAACGCTCTCCCTCCGGCGAACAACGAGCATGGCAGGCGAGGCAACCCCAAAGGATCTGAAGGCATCACCGAAGAATCATGTGGACGAGAACGACGACGACATATTGCAAAGACGTCGTCGCATATCGCCCTACGATCTCTCACCCAGCGACAATCCGGGTATGCTTTTAACCCAGGTTGTTCTCAAGGGACCAAACTATGACGAATGGTCAAAATCCTTGCGCCTTGCCTTACGGGCTCGCAAGAAATTTGGATTTGTTGATCGATCAATAGCGCAGCCGGATCCAGACTCAGACGACTTGGATGATTGGTGGACCAATCATTCGCTTATAGTATCATGGATACGCAACACGATTGAACCATCGTTGCGATCCACAATCTCTACGGGCGAGTCTGCATCCGATCTGTGGGACGAACTGAAGGCGTGTTTTTCGGTTGTGAACGGACCTCGCGTCCAACAACTGAAGCGTGAAATATCTGAATGCAAACAAAAGGGACTTAGCATGATGGCATATTATGGCAAGTTAAAGAAATTATGGGACGACTTAGCCGACATCGACAAGTTCCCAGATTGTGTTTGCACAGATTGTGCGGGCAAACTGGCGGCAGCCTTAGCAAAGAAGAGAGAGGAAGAAAGGGTCCATCAGTTCCTTATGGGAGTCGATGACACCATGTACGGCTCCATAAGGTCGCAACTTTTGTCTCAAGAACCACTGCCCACCGTCGCCAGAGCCTACAATATCTTGATTCAAGAAGAGACCGCACGTGCTACGATCCGAGGCATTGGCGACACCGAAGTTCCAGCGGCTGCCTTTGCTGTGAAAACGAGCAGCGAAGCTGATCAAATCTGCGGTCATTGTAAGAAGAAAGGACACCAAGTAGACTCATGCTTCAAACTGCATGGATTCCCCGAGTGGTGGCCACCGGGGAATGACCGCGGGCGTGGCAGCAATCGTGGACGTGGCTCCAGGCGTGGGGGACATCGGGGAGGCCGCGGCGGAAGAGGAACAGACGGGAAGGGCAGCGGACAGACGACAGCAGCGCACGCTGTAACTGCCGGCGACGGAGGAACATCCAGACTTCCAGACTTTGAAAATCTCACACCTTCTCAGTGGGATACAATTCGTCACGCTCTATCTGTGTCATCTACTCCATCTGTTACTCCCGAAACATTAACAGGTATTGCCCCCTGTTGGATTCTTGACACTGGTGCATCGAATCATATGACTGGTGATGTTATGTTGCTTTATGATATTGTGGATATGCCATCTTGTGAAATTGGGTTGCCAGACGGAAAGAAAATTATATCAGTTCAATCCGGGAAACTTAAGTTAACAGACACATTGACTTTGTTGAATGTTTTGCTTGTTCCCAATCTGAGCTGTAACTTGATCTCGGTTTCCCAGTTAACAAAAGAATCTGATTGTGAGGCCCGATTCTCCGCTAATACTTGCCTGATACAGGACCTAAAGTCGAAGACTTTGATTGGTGTGGGTGAGCAGGATGGTGGACTTTACTATTTCAGACCAATGAAGGACAAAGTGGCGTTGAGTGCAAAACGGGAGAGCAGCTTTGATCTATGGCACAAGCGCCTAGGACATCCTTCACCTCGAGTCTTATCTCTAGTTCCTGTAGTTGGTTCTATTAAAGATAGTAGTTTACAAAATACTTGTTGTGATATTTGTGTACGTGCCAAACACTCTCGTACCAGTTTTCCTATAAGTTATCATCAATCTACTGCAATTTTTGATATGATACATGTTGACCTATGGGGACCTTATCGCACACCTAGTCTGAATGGATCCACAATGTTTTTGACTCGCCACCAGCGACACAGCTCCGGAGCCCCTTCACGCCAGCGAAGACACAACACCTGTAGCAGCAGGCGACGTGACGACGTCCAGCGCTGCCAGCACTGGCGGCAGCACCAGTGCTGAGTTGAAGGACCCACTACCCGACGAGGCAGCATCCACTGCCGCCGAGACAGCACCCACTCCAGAAGCTGGTCGTGGGCAACGAGCACGCATACCGAACACCCGTCTGAAAGATTATGTCACATATACTACCTTCCAAACGCTCAGCAAGTACCCGCTTAGTGCATTCATCAATTATGACAAATTTACTCCTTCACACAAGTGCTATCTCACAGCCATCGACTCCGAGGTTGAGCCCAGAAATTTTCGTGAAGCAATGCGATCCGAAACGTGGCGCAAGGCAATGCGGGCGGAAATTGATGCATTACAGAGTAACGGGACTTGGACTCTAGTCAGTGCCCCTCCTCACAAGAAGCCTTTGAGGAGCAAATGGGTATACAAAATCAAACGCAAGGCCGATGGTAGTATCGAACGGTACAAGGCACGACTGGTGGTCTTCGGTAATCATCAGGTTGAAGGGTTGGATTATAATGAAACATTTGCTCCTGTCGTGAAACTCACCACCGTCAGAACCTTATTAGCCGTGGCTGTAGCTAAATCATGGGAGCTTCATCAGATGGATGTTCACAACGCGTTTCTTCATGGTGACCTTAATGATGAAGTCTTTATGCGCCTGCCTCCCGGATTCACTCCTCCTCGTCCAGGTCTTGTTTGCAAACTTCAGAAATCTTTATATGGATTAAGGCAAGCCCCCAGATGTTGGTTTGCCAAACTCTCTCATGCCTTAAAGAACTATGGTTTTGTTCAGTCTATCTCCGATTATTCTCTTTTTACGCTACGACAGAGGGGGGGTGTCCTACATGTTCTTGTCTATGTGGATGACCTTGTAATCGCCGGTAGTGACTCTCATCAAGTTGAAAAGTTTAAGTCCTACTTGTCTCAATGTTTTCACATGAAGGATTTGGGGCGCCTTAAATATTTCTTGGGCATCGAAGTCGCGCGCACTCCGGCAGGCATTTTCTTGTGTCAAAGAAAGTATGCATTGGATATTATCTCTGAAGTTGGCTTACTTGGGGCACGCCCACTAGGCACCCCACTTGAGCCAAACCATCGCTTGGCACTTACTACCACGCCATTACTTCCTGACCCTGAGAAATATAGACGCCTCGTTGGTCGCCTTGTTTATTTTTCGGTCACTCGACCGGAGCTGTCCTATGCAGTTCATACACTGGCCCAGTTTCTGCAAGAGCCTCGTGAGGAGCACTGGAAGGCTGCGATGGGTGTGGTTTGATACTTGAAGGGGCAACCCGGTCAAGGGATCTTCTTATCAGCTAGCAATACCTTGCAGCTAACAGGATGGTGTGATTCAGACTGGGCCGCCTGTCCCTTGACGAGGAGATCCCTCACTGGTTGGTTCGTCCAACTTGGCAAATCTCCTGTCTCCTGGAAAACAAAGAAACAAACGACCGTGGCCCGATCATCTGCAGAAGCTGAGTACAGAGCTCTAGTCGCGGTCACTTGTGAGTTAAAGTGGCTCAAGAGTCTACTTGGTTCTCTTAGGATTGAACATTTGAAGCCTATGACCATAAAGTGTGACAGTACTGCCGCATTACATATCGCAGCCAATCCTGTTTTCCATGAACGTACAAAGCACATCGAAGTCGATTGCCATTTTGTTCGAGACGAGCTACTGCGAGGAGTCATCAAGACAGATCATGTTTCCACTACACATCAGCTAGCTGATATGCATACAAAGGCACTGGGCAAAGCACGACTTGAATTCTTGATTCCCAAGTTGGGCATTTCATTGCTACATGCTCCAACTTGAGGGGGGGTGTTGGAGAAGGAAAAGGAATATTAGAATATTAGTCTTTGATTTGTATTAGACTTGTATATGGTAGCTTCCTTTATTTAGCATTCCTAGTTCTATTAGGAATACCTTGCTGTATATATATACTCCTCATTGTATTGTACAGGATCAAGAAGGAATACAATAGATTTTCAGCCCTAAAACACTTCTGCGTAACACCTCCGAGCGGAGTCTCTGGATCTCGGCGCGCTGTTGATGAAATTGACGGCCAGAGAGGCCAGATTCTAGAACGGTTTGAACGGCCAGAGATCTTGGGTTAGGAGAAAGAATTGGGCGGAATGGTTCTGGGAAGAGAGGAGGTGCGAGATGAATGCGGGTAGGAAGATTGGGTGAGAAGGGCGATTTAATGAGAGGGATAGTTTAGGAAAAGTGGGTTAGAAAACGTATACTGGGAACTTTATTTCCGGACGGAGAAAAGAGTAGAGTGGGAACTTAAAATCCGGACAGAGGGAGTAAATAATATGTACAATAATGTGTTGAAAATGGAGTTTACAATTTTTTTAAAATAATAATGATTCTCAACTTGATTGAATTTAAAAATAAGTATTAGAAAGGTAGAATAATTATGAACTCTTACCACAAGAAAAGACAACTCATAATACTCTTAAATAATTACTTCATGTTAAAAATAAGTGCTTTATTGTCTAGCCATATGAACTCCTAGAAATCATCCTAAATAGGACTAAAACATAGATAAAAGTACCAAAATAAGACTTTCATGTTTTTTTTCCCGAAATAGGACTTTGCATTGTGGTAATGTGACCTTGCATTGTGGTAATGTGGCAGTGTACATGCGCAAATTACTATGCTTTTTTGGTAATGTATATGACCATGGTTCGTAATGTAAGTCCTATTTTGGGAATAAAAACATGGAAGTCTTATTTTGGTATATTTTCAAAGTTTTAGTCCTACTTTGGTCTTTCTTCCATGAACTCTTAGAGCCACGAGAAAATCTTTTCAAAAATCTTACAAGTACTTTCATTCCTAGAGACACTAAAACTATAAGAACAATGAATTGTGCAAGTAATTGATTACATTGAGCCATGTAAAAGTTAACAAATTATGCCAACCAAAAAGAATACTCTATGAACCATTGTGACTTTAATTTAACTTTGTACTGAAAAAATCGACATTTCAGTCTAAAAAAAATTTTTGGTTTCTGTATTTGAATTTTTTTTAAAAAAAATTCCATGTTGGTCAAATTTATAAAATTAACAATTACGTATTTGAAATAATAAAAAAAATTCAAAAACTAAGATTAATGTGGTGTAATAAATTTTATGCCTAGAGCCACAAAAAAGCACCACAATTATGGTTTCTATATTGAGATGCCAACCGAAAAGACAATTCATCACCCTTTAAAATATTAATTGAAATAGGATGAATTGACTGGCAAGAGATTTTGATATGTGCAAGTAATTGATTACGTTGAGCCACTTAAAAGGTAAGAAATTATAGAAAACCGAAAAGACTACTTTATGAACCATAGTGTCTTTAATTTAACTTTGTATCGAAAATTTCCATTGTGCTTATATCAAGGAAAGTGTATATAGATTTTGAAATTAATATTTAAAATATAAACTTTAAAAAAAATTAGAAATTCATTTTAACTTGAAAAATAAAATGAGTGTAAGTATAACTGCCCAGCCCATGGATTTTGAAATTAATACGGAGTAAATATTTATTATTACCTTATCAATTTAAACGAAAAATTTAAGAAGTTTTAAAAAATTGAAAATACGTAAAAAAATTTGGTTTTAATGGTTACTTTAAAAAAAAATTGGTGAATAGTATTTACTTGACAGAATACTCCGTATTCATTAAAAAAATCAATAAACAAAAGGTATACTTTCGTGTATCCCAATGGTAAACTACCCCTACATCATTACTCATTACTACCTCCGTCCCAGAGTATTTGTCCACTTTCATTTTTACACACCATCCAATACACTGCTTTAATTCATTTTATCTTGTAATTTGTATATATATTAAAAAATTATAGAAATTATATATTAATAATCTATATGTTAAGACAAATCAAACAAGATCACACATGACTATATTTAGGCTTACACATTGAGAGAATTTGATGAGTCAATGTGCTTAGATGAATAGTTCCAAAAGTCAAAACTGGACGAATACTCCGGGACGGAGGGAGTATTATTTATAATTTTTATTACATCTCAAAGTAGGGGTAACTTCCCAGAAAGGGAAGAATTTGGTGACTAAATTCCAAAGAAACTAAAACATTTCCAATCAGTGACAAAGGAAGTCGATGACTTCCTTTGAGAAAAAAAAATCACGTGTTCCCCACTTCCCCCTCCCTTCTCCCATTATTCCATCCCTACTTCCCTTTTTTATTTAAACCATTCAACCTCTTTTCAAAATTAACCATTATCCTACCCCTTTCCCCTTTTCACACATTCCAACCTCTTTTCAAATTCAAACACTCTCCTCTTCTTTCCAACACATTATCTTTAATTTATACCTTTTAAATTTCTTCCTTATTCAAATCATTTAAATTTTATCATAATTCACAACACAACACATCTTCATTCTACTCTCAATTGAAAGGTATGTTATTTATTTTTTAATTTTTATTCTTTAAAATCATTATAATTTTTTTTGGCTAAAATGATTAGACTTTGATTTTAGTATCATACTCCGTATAAATTTATTTAATTGTTAGAAATGTGGTATTTAGTGTATGAAAAAATGAATCAAATAAATTCTTATGATGGATATATGTTGCTTTTATATTATGCATGTGTAAATAATAACTTTAGAGAAGTTTTGTATATATAGTAGAAATATATCTAGAGTATATTAGAGTAATTTTTTTTTGTTTCTTTTATGTTTCACACATTATTATGTTCCAAGATGGAAGTTTTGTATATATGGTAGATATATGTTTCTTTTATGGAGTATATTTTCTTTTATTTCTCTTATATTTTCTTGTATTTGCATTTAATTTTAATGAAGCAATGGACCAAATTGAACGTGATATTGCTGGTCCTCGAAACGATGCTGTGTTAACGCTTCAACAGAAACATCGTTCAAGACGTGTTTGGGAAGAGGAAGATTTTCTTGATGCAAAAGTTTTTTGTTGTCGGTATGACGCCGGCGTTGAAAGCTCTTACGAAGATGATCGGATAGAGACAAATCTTAGAACTGCTAGTTTTTATGGGGTCCATCGTGTTCAACCCATTAAATTGGATCACAGTTTAATCACGGCCCTATTGGAAAGATGGAGACCGGAGGTTCATTCCTTTCAGTTCCCTTTTGGCGAATTAGGGATTACCTTACAAGATGTTGAGTGTCTTCTTGGATTACCTGTGGATGGTGAACCCATTGTTTTTACGCAAAATGTTCCGCGGGAAACCTATTCACAGTTATTTTTGAGGGTTCTTGACTTTCCGGTGGATGACACTGATTTTGGGTCGTTGGTGTTTACATATATAATATTTATTATGTATAACTCTGAACAATATATTTTAAATGTCTATTGGGGTGGTGAGATTGAGTCTAATGGGTTAGATGTCTCATACTCTATTATGTATAAAAAAAACTCTTATTATTGAAGATAATGTGACTTGGGATCATATTAGAGATCAAATTCAAGAGTATTTCTTGCAAGATGGTTACGGCCAAATTACGAGAGTCGATGGAAAAGTACCATATATCATATGGGCTCCAACCACGGGAGTCGGCTTATGGGCATTGAAAACCAATTAACTCCGGCATGCGCACCTTCATGTACGGAGTATTCAGAGTTTTGAAAAAGAATGGCCCTATCTACACTGTACAAGTCTGGTCAAACACGAAATTATTGAGGTCTGGACCAAATGGCATGGACTTATGGACTAAATATCCCTATTGGATCTATACTACTCCGTAAAATTCGATGGAGTACTTTTTATACTCTGTATTACACTTTGATGATCTATTTTAATAGATATCTTAATTTATTTTATTAAAAGGCTTTTTATAAATTAATTTTAAAAAATATTTAAAAAAATTCATATTAATTTTTATGATTCTACATAGAAATGGTCCATTTTATGCATATATTTTTAGGTTGTCTATTTTTTATATTTGCGTGGTACAAAATAAAAGCATAAAATATACTCCGTAGTATTTAATTGATCAAAATAATTAAAGATATATTCCTTCCCTTCTCAAAAAGAGTTCATACTTTGAAAAAGTGAAAAAATAAGGAAGTGTTAAATTGTAGTTGACTTCCAATTTTTTCCTTGATGTGATGGATAAAAGTAAGATGTGATAAGTAGATTATTAGAGAAAAAGTATGATGTGATAGGTATGGTATGAAAAAGTAAAGGTAAAAGTGGTTTTTTAATAGAAAGTGGAAGTGTTTTGTTGGAAGTGAAAAAAATAAAGAAGAAATGTTTTTGAGAACGGAGGGAGTATATTTTTTAATATGTCCAGACCAATTGCGTCATAAGTATTTTGGTCCGGTCCCGTCCAAACCTGGACAAATTTAGGTCCAGTTTCTAGCCAGTGATTTTGTTCAATTCGATCTTCTTTCCCATCTAGGTCGGTCCAGTCTTGGATCGATGAACAACTCTAGTCCTATCTTGCGGTCAGCTAAACTGCTAAAGAGCGTTAAACACATGTTAGCAATCAAAATATAAAGCATGCACTTGCATTCCATACTTACATACTCCCTCCCACCTCGTGGGTAGCTCAACTGATCTAAGGAAAACCTGTCAAGCTCATTGATCTTAGGATTGAATCCCGACAGTAGAAGTCTAGAGTTTTATTCTTTGTAACAACTTCTTGTGTGTACCTAGCACGGGGCAACTTCTCTAAAAACCATATTGAGATTATAACATTATTTACCCCTTCACGAATTTTGCCAGACCGAGTGGGCATTCCACCATTTACATACTCCCTCCTTCCCTCACAAAAAGAATGCAACGATTATCATTTCGCTATGTCGATAATTTTTATTTAATTACACGTTTTATGTAACTATTTTATAAAATAAAATATCCTTATCGCATCGTGTTTTGTAGAACTTTTGACATACTTTTAAACAATGTAATTTGTATTTTTTACCAATCTATAAATAAAATAATTTTAAAAGAAATACTCCCTCTGTCCACTATAGATCTTCTCGGACACTATTCACAGGGTCAAACTTTACTTACTTTGTTTGATTATTTTTACTAGTCATTTCGTAAAATAATATAGTCTTGTCACCTCTAGTTTTGTAGAACTTTTCATGTAGTTTATTACTATATGAATTTTATTTTAAAATTTTACTCCTATAATCAATTAAATTGAATTGAAAATAAACTAGGTCAAGTCTCGTAACACGTAATGGAAAGATCTTAGATTGACGGAGGGAGTAACATTTTACATGTTTGAAATGTGGTAAACAATTTGAGACGAAGGGAGTATGTTTTTACTTTTGTACTCCATCCATCCGAATTTAAATTGCTTGTTTTGATTTATGATATTTGACCGAAATTAGTTACAAATCAATTTACATGAAAATAGTGTTAAATTTAAAAATAAAACTTACATACTTAAAAATGACATCAAAAGATCTACAAAACCAGTAGTAACATAATTACATTATTTTATCAAATGATTATCAAAAATAGAGAAAGAAAGTAAATGAAGTTTGACCTGTAAACAATAAATATGTAATTTAATTTGGGACAGAAGGAATAACATAATTATCTTCTAACGCATTTGTAAGGAATCGAGCTTGATACTTATCCAATGGCAAATCAAGAAATCAGGAAATGCTGCCTCGATTATTTTTTTTAAGACACTATTAAATTAGAATGAAGGAAAAATTATATAAAACAAATTTAAAATAAATAAACCAAAATATTTCATAAAAAGAAAAATAAAACTAAATATTACAAAAATTAGAGACGGAGGGTGTATATCATATTTAAAACATCGTACATAACAATAGCTAGAAAAGACTTCTTCCCTAGCTTGGGTGGTAGAAAGTCCACTCCCCATGATTAATAGGGATGTAATTAATTATTGTTTTTTTACTAGGGTCACAAATATATTGTTTTTTTTATTGGGAAAAATGTTTAATTTATTAACTTTTTAAAATTTAACACTATTTTTTTTATAAATTTTACCGGATGTGGGTGGCCTCAAAACGTGCTATGTGGATCTACTAGTGTACTTAGAGCACTGGGTATACATGTAACGCCGACGGGCGTTAGGGACGTTTTAACGCCCCAGGGGCGTTAAACACCGCCCCCCGGCGGCGTTACACGGCCATGAAACGGCCTGCGTCAAAGGAATGACGCTTCGTCATTCTCTTCCCCTCCCCCCCTTAACGGCTATAATAGCCGTTGGACTCAAAAAAAATCCTTATAAATTCACCCCCCTCCCAATCTCTCACACGTTTTTCTTCACTCTCCTTCAATCTTCTTCTTCCTATAATTTCGAAATCACCCCCTCTCTTTTCAACATGAATCCTTCTGGCTCCGGCTTCTTTCCGACGATCTCCCGTCGAGCGACGCCGCGATGTGGTGGTACCAAAAGTGGGGCGATCGATCGCCGATCTACGAGACGCAGCAATCGGGGTACGTCGAGCGAGATTCGGTTTTGGAGACTCAACCAGAACCGACCGGGTCGAAAAAAAGTATACACCGGAAAAGCCACAAAGCCAAAGGCACGATGACTGAGGCGGCACGGTCAATCCAAAAGTGGACGCAAGAGGATGAGTGCTTATTGGCGTCGGCTTGGGTTGACGTCTCCGAGCGTCCTATCATTGGTAAAAAAATTAATTTTTCTAATATATTTATGTTTTTATTTATTTATATTATATTTAAAAAATTGTGTTATACATTTTTAAAGGTTCGCAGCAAACGAAGGATGCGATGTTGGATCGTATCGAGGAGAAGTTCTTCACGGCGATGAACAAGGACGACTCCTACCGAAACAGGGACCAACTCACTTCCAAATGGAGCCACATCAACCGTAAAGTCCGAAAGTTTATCGGAGTTTACGAGGAATGCTCTCGATCCCAGAGGAGAGGGACGAACGACGCCGATGTTCTCCGGCTTGCCATGGCCCGGTATCAAAATTGACGGGCACCAAGGCAAGGTGCCCATCGATCTTTAGAGGTTTTTGAGCCGTTCCCCGAAGTGGCAACAACTCAACAATCCCGACGGCGGATCATTCCAGAAAAGATCCACCGTCGACGCCGAGGTTGAGGTCGACGAGACTATCGGTTCGACCGATCAAATCTCTCCCTTCAACGTTGGGGATTCCGATAACGAGGACCCCATTCCACGGCCGATCGGAAAAAAGAAGGCAAAATCCATTGCCTCGGGTTCGAGAGGGTCCGGCTCTGTTTCTGTTTCTTCCCGCGACGAAATCAGTTGGGAAATCGTTGAACAACTTCGGGCATTCAATTTCCGAGAACAAGAGAGGTTGAAGCTAAAGGAGAAGAAGTTGAAGCTAAAGGAGCAGGAGGTCGAGATGAAAGTCATGGAAACCGACATTTCTACATTGTCGGAGATTGGACGAATGCTCTACGAGCAAAGAATAAAAGAGATCAAAGAGAACTATAATTTTCCTTAGTTTTTTTATTAATGTATCTTTTTTTATTATTGTCACTTTTTTTATTTAATGAATGTATTTTTTTTATTATTCGTGTTTTAGTATAATTAAATAATAAATTAATTGCATTTTATTAATTTAATTTTAGAAGATGTATATTTAAAAAAGTAAAAAATGAAGGTTTGAAGCCCCGGTTTGAAGCCCCGGGGCTTTAAACCCATTTCAGTGAATTTTGGGTGTAAGTTAAAGCTGACGTGGAAGAGAGAGAAAGTTTGAGGCCCCGGTTTGAAGCCCCGGGGCTTCAAACGTATTTCCAGTGCTCTTACCTCTTCTTCAATCCTTGCCCTACGAATACAAAGTACTACGTATTTAAAATTGCATTATACTCACTCTCTGAGTATTTGTCTACTTTCATTTTTACACACCATCCAATGCACTTCTTTAATCAATTTTATCTTGTAATTTGTATATTAAAAAATTATAGAAATTATATATTAATAAATTATATGTTAAAACAAATCAAACAATATCGCACATGACTATATTTAGGCTTACACATTGAGAGAATTTGATGAGTCAAAGTGCTTAGATGAATAGTTTCAAAAGTCAAAAGTAGCAAAAACTGGGGGACGGAGGAAGTAAGAGTTTTGTTGAATTGGTGTACTGTAGGGGAACCTCAATGTATCCATAGATCTCACACGTCGTTGAAACAATAGACTTGGGCCCAATTCAACCCCAAAAGTTAACTCAAGACGTTGAGGTACCCAAGCTATTAAATAGCAGCACAATATAAGGCTGCATTGCCGATGTGGGATGAACAAGTCAACACGCCCTCACACGAGGCGCAGATTACTGCGGGCGCGGTTCAACATCAATGGCTTAGCTCTGATACCATGTTGAAACAATAGACTTGGGCCCAATTCAACCCCAAAAGTTAACTCAAGAGGTTGAGGTACCCAAGCTATTAAATAGCAGCACAATATAAGGCTGCATTGCCGATGTGGGATGAACAAGTCAACACGCGGCGGGGGTACATTATCAGACAATCTGGGGGCAACGCCCTCGGTATTTTAAAAAAAAACAAATATGAAACGATGAATCAAATATTTAAAAAATTATCTCAAATGTTCAAAATATAATAATAAACTGACTTTATTTATTACCACACAAAACTTATTTTTTTTAAAAAAACAACTTTATTTAATCAAATAACACACATTTATCCATGGCTATAGTTTCAAATATAATATCATTAGTTGAACACAAAATGAAGCAATTGTATATGGAGTAAAGAATAGTATCTCAAAATAGTAAATACTCCATATTTATTACGGAGTATTATTAAATAATAATCATAATAATTCAAATTCAAACCAACTAAGACTATACAATTATAAATTAGCACAATTTATCCCTTCGAAATAACAACAAATTAAAGATTAAAGGTCATAATTATTACTCTCTCCGTTCCTAAAATATCAAACTTTTTCAATTCATTTTATTTACATATTGGTATAGAAATAAAAAATAAAATTTACATACCAAAAAATTACATGAAAAGTTCTTTGAAATAAGAGGTGTCAAGAATATTTTATTTTATAAAATAACCAAAGAAAACGTAGAAATAAACAAAAGTTTCTGCGACTGCTGAAAAAGAAAATGTTGTAATTATTTTGGGAGAGAAGTGGTAAATAATTAAAGTTTTAAAGTAAAAAACATGTGGTGAGATTGAATTAAGATAGAGGTGGAAGATGACAAAGACTCTACTTTCTGCTCCTATGAACTGTGGAGTCTAGATTGAATTTGGGCCTTTTTGGGATTTAGCAAGAAGCAAAGAAGTCAAAGATGTGAGGTGGAGTTCGGCAATTTTTTCTATAAACCCTAACATTTCTACGACCGTCGTTTAGAGTTTTATCCTTATTAAAATAAAATGTAGAACGACACCGTTTGACGAAGAGGAAAAGTTATAGAAGAAAATAGCACTCCTCTGCCCCTGCTTTAGTTTCCTCATCGCTCTTTCTTCTCTTTCTTCCTGAGTTATCATTGTTATTCTCTTCAGCATTTGTTGCATTGCTGTCTTCCAAGCCATGTCGTCCACCTTCTATTTCATTAGGTTGGTCGATATCATCATCGGCTTCACTTTCCGTGGAATCATCATTCCCCTTCCTATCCATTGACAATTTCTTCTTTTTCTTTCCTCTGACATGTGTATCTACATCATCTGCTTAAGGATTCAGGAATCAGATCATGAAAAAAAACTCAGTCTCATACAAACAGCAATACATACCCTATTGAATGTGGGGCAAAAAGCCTTAACTGGTTTAAATTAAAAGTTATTAGTACCTAACTACCTGCCAGACACCAAATATGGGAATGATAGGAATGCAAATAATGAAATGAGCCCAAATTTGCTGTCTATACATTAGAAATATGGATGCAGACATGCTCGCGTTTTAAGAGGACACTTTTTCAAAAATAGTGTGTTGAAAATATATTAATATGAGCAAGCATATGAAGAGGCTACAGAGTGTATATCAATGTGTGTGTGAGTACACAGTCACACTGAGCAAATTTGAAATTCTTCAAAAATATCGCAAGTTCGAATGCATCATCAAACCAAATACTGGGTTCTGCTTGATTATACTCTCATACTAAATGTTCAGGTAAAAACATTTCATCACAAGCATTGATAGTTTAATACACATATTTCCTGATCAAAATCACATCAAACAATCAGATATGTTTTTTTCACTTGTAACAACAACCTTACCCGTAACAACAAAAGGAATTCAATACATCAACATTCAACACAAATTCTAATCCAAATCAGTGCACTCGTGTTGTCATGATGCTCACATACATCTAATAACATTAAAACCATCAAGATAAATACAATTGGCAATAACTACGCACCAACTTGTTGCGAAATCACATTTCACACAACAACATACACTCACAAGTAATGAACAAACCCTAAATCACAATTAAATGGGGTGTATAATCATATTCTATAAAGCACTTGTTCTTTGTATCATCATCTCCGATGGAGCCAAAACTTCACCATTTTTTGGCTTTGAGGTGTGATGGAATAAATCAAAATGGATCTCTAAACTGTCTACGCTTCTTTAATTAATGAAGTAGCAGTTAGTCAAGCAATGCAACTTTCGACGTTGAGCCGGGGGTCTCTTTGGAAACAGCCTCTCTACTTTCGAGTAGGGGTAAGGTCTGCGTACACATACCCTCCCCAGACCCTACTCTTGTGGGATTTAACTGGGTTGTTGTTGTTGTTGACTTGTTGTTCTTTGTATCCTCAGTCATTTTTACTTTTCAAATTCAAGCAAAACCCCAGAATTAACTACAAGGGAGACTAAAACGCATGGAAAAAAAGGTTACAATTAACCATGACTAAATGCTCAATAGAATTCCCTATTAGTACACTCACAAAAATATCAGGCTCCTATACCCTACAACAATAAGGCCCTAATTCCAAACAAGAAAATCAGAGGCGGCAGACTGACTATTGCATAAAGCTTATTACCTTATTTTGTATTATCATTTGATGAAAGTGTATCTTCAATTCCCTGATTATAATAGGAGGTTCTCACAGCCTTCCACCTTCAATTTTGGCTCATTTCTTAATTCTAATCTACTCACATAATTAGCACAATACCAGCACCCATATAATAATCGTACATTATGCTAGCTCTCCTTGAATTTTGAAAGAAAATGCCCGGATTTGTACTCCCACAAATCATGCAATATACTGGCGCCAGGAAAGCTAAAATAGGGAAAATTACAAAGTTGGAAGAGAAAATACCTTTAAGTCTAGAATTGGAAGAATGGTAGTTATCATAACCAGGAGGTGTAAACGACAACAAAGACTGCTGATCATCATGAGAGGGTGGGAAAGGAGCCGGCTGGTGCATATGATGAGGTGGGACTAAAACTGATGTCGGGGCCCCACCACTAGGCGAAGCATTGTACTGGGAGCAATTAACGGTGATGGAGTGGTTGTTATTGGATTCGGAGGCTGCTGCATCTTTGTTTGCCCAGAAGAAGAATGGAAAGGAACATAGCTACCATATGGCTGTCGTACAGCCATTTGAAGCATGTAATGGTAGTAATAATGTCCGGTATCCCCAAACAGGAAATCAAAGTCAGGATTATTTTCTGCCTCTTCACGGACAATGCCATGGTACTCTGGACCCTTCATGATTACATAATCTAACAATTTATGAATCCGCTCAACGAGTTCAGGATCGGATGGTGGGGAAGGAAGAGGTGGTGGAGGATTACAAGTGCGATGGGGGCAGCAACAGCAACATT